GCCTTTTAGCAAACACAGTGCTGCGTCATGTCCAGAACTCCGATACTTATCTGCTCAGCAGAATCAAAAGCTGGGCTTTTAAGTCCTCTTCCACATAAGCACACTCACACTTTGAACTGCAGTTACTTTGGACTGAAGTGAAGCCAAGTACCTCCCCACCCCAACAAATCATCCTAAACAAGCTCCTAGCAGCACAGCAGGAATGTGCCAAACTCCCTGAAGCTGGGCTGGATTTACAAAACAGTGGGTCACTTTCTGCCGCCTTTAAAGTATCTTCATCAGTTTCTGCTTTTTAAAAATTTCTTGTAGTAGTCACAGTGTACACCAGTCTCCAGATTTCAAATGAAAGGCTCCTTTTTCTCAATCTAGTTCTGTGAAGATTATAGGCAGGTATATAATGTAAGCACACTCAAGACAATCTAACATATAAAGGTTGAAAATATGACTAGAATGTTGTATTATATTTGAAATACTGTTGAGCTCGCTCTCCTATTTAACAAAATTCAATGAGAGACACAAAAACCTGAAATACTAATTAGTGATTCGAATGCGATCATGAAAGGTGATTTCTTACTAATTTAGAGGAAAATTCTCCAACTGTGAGGCTAAGTGACCTTCTCCATATGGGTCACCACTGTCTTATCTGAAGAGCCAGATAGAAAGAATGTTGAAGGTGACTCATGTGGAGTGGATTATCACTATCAGAACACCCCAAAGCTACCGGGACCTTTATCTTCACATCAATAACAAACAGTAAAACAACAGGGAAAGAAGACTTGTAATAATCAGCATAAGGTTTCCTAGAAAAAGTCTTTCATCTTCAAGGTGTTGAAAATGGCTTTTAAAAAGTCTTCATTATAAAAAAAAAGTCTTCATTGCACTTAGTGTTATCAAAAGGAAAAGACAGGTGTCAGTTAAAAATGCAATTCCTGGCCCTCCCTGGTGGCACAGCGGGTTAAAGCACTGCACTAAGAAGCTAAAGCCACTTCTGCATAAGTTCGATTCCCGCCTGCCC